CACGCCACGCACCACCCCACAAACACACACACCCACACACCATGCACACAGACACACACATAATGCCTTTTTCCTCATCCTGCACACAGACACACACACACACACACACACAGACACACAGACACACAGACACACACAGCAAGAGCGAAAGAGAGAGACAGAGAGACTCACATCTCTCAAATCAATGGCAAACCAGTAACAGATTTTTCGTCTGGGCTCAGCACAGTGGCCTCAGGCTGTGTTGGTGTGTGGCTCACAGCAATCAGAGGTCATAATTTCATTGGCAGTTGGCATCGGGTTTAATTTTTCTAGCATGTTACATTTACCGAAATGTCTGGTTTCGGTTATGCGTAGGCATCCACTGAACCAGCTTTGAGCAGCATGTCTTCAGGTACCTGAGGTTTATGGAACACATATGCTAATTGTTTTCAATCACTTTCCTTTCTAAACACAAAAATGTGTTTTCTGAAGCTGGATAACAGTAGTTCTTAATGACATTGCTGGTTTCTTACGTTGAAAGAGGACCTGAAGTAGGTAAAGATGTCAATTTAACAAGACTGCCACCTACTGATTGGCATAGTTGGAAAACAGTCCAATTAGTTTCGGGGATTTTTAAATAGCCATGTTTTTTAAATAGCGGTTTAAAAAAAAAAAAAAGTAAATGCCTTTTGAAAATTGACGTGTATCATTTTAATTGCATTTTAGGAATGTGACCAAGTTCATATAGATGACGTCTCTTCAGATGATAATGGTCAAGACCTAAGGTGAGCACACAGAAGTGTGCAGTGACTGTCTCCATTTTATAGTTTAATTGCTCAACTAATTTAGATGAACTCTGTGTGGTTAACTTTGGGCTTTTCTTGCATCTAAATAGCACGTATAACTTTGGAACAGATGGCTTTCCAGCTGCAGCTACCAGCGCTAACTTATGCTTAGCAACCGGCGTGCGGGGCGGCGTGGACTGGATGAGGAAGCTGGCTTTCCGCTACAGACGAGTGAAGGAGATCTACAATACCTACAAAAACAATGTCGGAGGCAAGTGACTCACCCATGTCTCCCTGGGGTAATGAAGATGATCTGAAGTTCTCAGAGTACCGCCCACTTTTTTGGACATAGTAGCTTTTTTCGAACAGTTTTGTTGAATCAGTGATTATTCTGCTGTGATTCAATGATAAAAATATTAGCCTAGAGCTGCTGCCCCGGGGAGACTCGGCTAGTCCTGGCTCCGTAACCTAACTGGAGTGGCGGGACCCGGAGTAAGTTTCTTGGGCTCCCTGACGTCCAGTAACAGGGGATCCACAGCCCTGGCCCAAATGGCTAGATGGCTTGTCCAGCTCCTTCTACCAGGCGGACGCTTGTATGAGTTTGGATCTCTTTAGTGTCGTTCAAAACGGCTTTAGCACAGAAGGGAATGTATTGGCTCGATGACGAAGGGGTGCCTTTAACCAGAAGAGGGGATGCTAGGAACGCACACTCGATAGACGCTTCCTACAGTGCTAAGTAGAGATTCGTCGAACGGATGCTAACGTGTGACAGTGACGAGGCGTACGACAGAGGGGTAGTGGTAGTAGCACTCCATGTTTGTTATTCACAGAGTGGAACAGACACGTTGTTAAGGCAGTCGTTCGTGTGCGTTTGAACCCACAGGCCTGCTCGGTCCGGCCAAGAGGGAAGCCTGGCTGCAGCTGAGGGCCGAGATCGAAGCCCTGACGGACTCCTGGCTGACGCTGGCCCTGAAGGCGCTCACGCTCATCCACTCGCGGTACGCGCCCCCGAGTCGCTTCACGGTGCCTTTGCCGGACAGTGAGCTTTGCTCGTGCTTACTCGTTTTGGAGATTTATTTTTCAACAGTCTTTTTTTTTTTTTTTTTTATCTTTCCATTCTCTTAGGACAAACTGTGTGAATATTTTAGTAACAACTACTCAGCTCATCCCGGCATTGGCGAAAGTCCTGCTCTATGGACTAGGAATCGTATTTCCCATAGAAAACATTTACAGTGCAACTAAAATAGGTGAGCTGCTTTTGTTTCCATCGTTTTGCGATTGACTCTTCTCCTTCAGGCTGGTGAAAATGAAAGGCAGTAAATTAGGCTTTCTCGTTTTCAGAATGCTGGATATCAGAAAACGAGAAGAATAATTTAACCAATTTTAGCGTCAAATTGGCTTTAGACATCAAGGGATATAGAAATCATAATCCACAGTTTTATTCTGAAATTTTCACTTTACTGGCTAACATTAAGACCTATGCATTTTAGCTGTAGTCAACTTAGCATCAATTCTGGATCATCTTATTTTTCTCTTAGGCAACCTCAACAAAAATAGCTTATAAGCCAAAACAAATAGTACTGTAGAGATATACAAAGTAGAAATGAAACCTCTAATAACTGTTTCTTTAAATTGTTGCTGCAACTGGGCTGTTTTTTTGCCCCCTTTTTTTTTTTTTTTTTTTTTTTTTTTTTTTTTTCACAACGTGTATAAACAATTAACTTCCCATTTTTGTTATGGGGATACAAAAAAATTAAGTTCTCGCAAGAAGGCAACATAGCTAGAAAAAGGAGACTAATGTGAAATTTAGTGAGAACTAAACTAAGAAAGAAGAAAAGTGGGGTAAAAAGAAGGCATAGCTCTTGTTCTTAGAGAATTCACTCTCCAGCAGGGGAAGCAGACATCTAAATAACTGTAATATAAATATATAAGTGAGCATCTATCAAATATTTATGAGATGCCTAGAATAATATTATGCATTTTACATATTAAAGATCAATCTTCACAACCTTTCCATTTTCCAAATGAGGAAACTAAAGCTTAGAGACTTAATTGTTCGAGCGAATAGGTACAAACGAGGTCTCTTTGATTCCAAGGTCCAGCCACCCTACGGTGTCCTACCACTAAGTGCCTGAATGCACTTCAAGGAGGAAGCATTCACTTCCACCCAGGAGGAGGTGGAGGGCAAGGGTCAGTGACAGCTAAAGGGAAGAGGTGACATCTGAGCTGGGTATAGAAGGGTCATTCCACGTTTACTAGGCAGCCGGGCTAACGAGAGCCAAGGAACAGAGAAGACATTGCCTTCTGAGGGACCTGTGCGTGGTTCTGGTTACCAATGTGCAGTGCTCACGGAAAGCTGAAGCTGGAGAGACAGAGTTGGGTCTGGCATAAGTGGCCTTGTGTGTCACCTTGATGTTATTTTAGTGAGTTCTGTGGGCGGGGGGAGGAGTATCCTGGTAGCAGGGAAGAAGGCTGTTTTTGGCTGCCCATCTCTGAAGAAAAAGGGGCAAAAATGGAATCCCTGTAGGTCTAACTCTCCATCTGACTACACTTTTATACTTCCTCAAAGCACTTACTAAATCATCACTAAAAAACTACTTATATAATTATTTGTTCAATCTCACTTCCCCACCAGCCAATAACACCCTTGAGAGTTGGGTCTGTCTGTCTCGTTCATCATTGTAGCTATAATGCCCAGCACATAGTAGGTGCTCAGGAAGGTTTGTTGAATGAACGGTATGAATTTGTTTATTGTGAAGAAGGCTGGCACAGAGGTTTCTTTTAGGCAACTGGGTCGGTGGCGACACTATTAACTGATGGGGAAATCAGGTTTGATTGGAAAGATAAGGGTTTGTTCTTATCATTGTTGAATTCGAAGAGCCTGTGGGATATTCAGATAGCTCTGTGAAGTTGGAAATAGTTGGAGTTTGAGAATGACCGATGACTCCTGAGACGGGCCAAACACAGAATCCAGGAAAACTCTTATAAAAAAAAAAAAAAAAGGAATGTATCAAATAGAATTCCTAGCAGCCTGATAAAACAAAAATTTTTATCAGTTTACACCGAGTCAGGTGTTTATCCTCTATAGAGAGAGCTGCATTTTGTTTTGTAAACAAGGGTCTCACGGAAAGCTTTATCGGCACATGAGAGTCAGAACAAATTCCAAAGAACCACATAGGACAGAGGGGACAGTGCCTAACTTCCCAGAAGGACAGAGCGAGTAGATTGCACATCATGCACACTGAACTTTCATCCCAAAGAATATGAAAATGTTAGGATGATAGGAAATCACACTAGCAATCCAGTATTTTTTAATGGGCATTTTGTTTGTAATATTTGACTTCAATTTTTTTTCAGCACAGAATAAAAATTAGAATTAAAAAATACGTGGTGTTAGAAATTATCTCACAACCAATGGTAGGATACTTTTCTATATTTTTAATAAGAAAAGTAAAGATTTAAACTCCTATACTTAGTGCTCATTTTGCCATACAATGAGATATAATTTGGGGATCAACGCAGAAAACTTAGGAATTTTCCTTTTAGGCAAAAAGGCAGAGTCGTAGGAGGAAATGACTGGTATCTCATGTAGCAGAGCTATGATGTCCTTTCAACAAAATGGATTTATCAAAATGAAAACTTCAAATAAGACTTCAAATCAGCTTCTAAAAGTCAGCTTCAAGTTTTTAATCTTTATTGTGCAAAATGTCTCTTGACCCAAAATTTACATCGAAGCCTATAGGAGATAGTGTACAGGTGAGATATTATCCACCACAGCTTCACCTTAAAAAAACATCGAGTTTACCTTCCGTTTTCCATGAAAGGGAAACCTTACAAAAACACATTAACATTTCCCTCTAAGGGAAAAAAAAGTCTCATGACATCCAAGTTTGAGGTTGTATATTTTTGCAGTGAAAACTATACTTTGTATTTGTTTCTGAAAGTGTTTTAATATTTCACAGTTTAGTGGGCAACTAAATAAGCATTGAAATTACATCCTTTGAATAAGGCTGGCCCTATTTTGTTCTGTCAGATGCAAACTAGAGATTTTAGTGCAAAATACAAATATAAAGCAGACATTTGTTTAAGCAAACAAGCAATTTGTTCGTGTGTATATCTGATCCTTATTTGAAAGAGATGCAGTCCTCGCTCAGCCATTCACATTTGAAAACTATAAACTGCCCCATTGTCCATTAAAATGACCCCGTTGGCAGCCCAGGACGTGGAACGCCAGCTTCTCCTCCAAGCGACAATGGCTGCATTAACGCAGGGATGTGCTGACAGCATAGCCACCATGGGAGCCCAGACCAAGTCTTGACATGGGAAAGATAACAGATAGATAAAGGGATTCTGTTACCTTTACCCGCTTTTCCTCTAGGAAAGCACTTTATTGAACATTCGATGCCTGGGTAAGGCAAGCGTGAGCTCCCTGCAGCGCCCCAAATTACCTGATGTTGATTTCAGAAACAGGTTCACAGGAATATTTCAGGTAAACACATTAGGCTTTGATGGTCTTTAAGTCAAATAGAATCCCAACCTAAAAAGGGATAAACTCATCCCGGTGTTCGATTTCTCCATTTCGTTTATCCTTCTCAGTAGCCTTTGAATCAGACATTATTTTCAGAGTTTGATAGATCATGAAACATTTTTAAAATCAAGTTAAAATATGTTGCCAGAATTGCATGTCTTTGTTTAATCTCAGCTTATAGGGGGAAAAGTACTACTGCAAGACAGCACTTTTTCCCCCAAGTGCTATACTGTGATTGACTAACCAGCTTTTTTGATAAGTGAGTCCTTGGGCAAAGAGTACTAAAATGGTCAGTTTCCAAGGGATGGGACACCACTTGGGTAATTAATTCACAGTCTTCAGATCATCGCGCTGTTGCACGTGCCGCCTAAATGGCACATAAAAGTGCTTTTCTAGTTTACATGAGTAGGCGAGCGTTGAGTCAGAAGTATGAAAAAGAAAAGCACTTTCTATAAAAAGTTCAAGTGCCACCGCACCGAGTTGCCCAGACTTTACATTTTTTCTAATTTATTTTTGTTCACCAGGAAAGGAGAGCTGTTTTGAGAGGATAATTCAAAGGTTCGGAAGGAAAGTGGTGTATGTGGTCATAGGCGACGGCGTGGAGGAGGAGCAAGCAGCCAAAAAGGTAAGAGCTCTCGCTGGTGCGTCTCGTCCTCGAAATCTTGCTCACTGGATGGTTCACACAAGCTCTGTTCCTGTGAGACAGATCATGGATGTGCTCAGAACCCTAAGCCCTGAGAAGGGGCCATGTAGAGTGAGACACGAAGAGATCCTTTCGAAGGGCGGCGTACATAAGCTCAGGGGTCGTGATCGGCGGATCTTCGTAGGATGAGGACTTCGGTCTGTTGTCGGGGAGCAGGAAAGAAGGCGGGTGCTGGAACCACCCCCCAGAACAGGCAGCACGTGCGCTGCGCTCACGCCCCTTTCTGCACCCACGGTGGACGTTGCCGTGTGATTGCAGCCTTGTCACCTGAGCCTGGATGCAACCTAAGACCCTTCCAAACATCATTTCAGGGAGGCTCTACCAGTCGGTCAGAGCCGGCTTGCAAAACTATTTGCAGCCCTAGAGTACAGTGCCTTCTTCTGATCATGAGGTCGCCACCTTGCCCCGAGACACTGGGAAAGGGGGAAGGGAGTGGACCCAACTATGGGTGGCCTGAGTCCCAGTTTGCCCATCATCCTTCTTTATATTCTTCTGCATCCCTTCAAGTATAATTCTGTCCTTGCCCTTTGCAAAAGCTTTCTCATTGATGTATTTTATTGCAGCTTAGAGAGGAGGAAGGAGGGGACCACAGCCTGGGTCTTCGCAATCCAGTAACTTAGCTGCCTTTCCGATCTTTTCCACTCCACTCCTCATCCTGCAGTCGGTCACACGAGTCGCTTGCCTTCCTGTGGCCACGCCTGCCACTTCTTCTCTGAGGTTGCCTCTGCTGAGAATGACCTTTTTCTCCAATGTCCTACTGTTTTTATCTTACTTACATTTCAAAATCCAGTTCATATGCCACCTTTTCTATTTCTCCTGTTTTTAAGAGCTCAGTTATAGTGGCACTTATTTACACTTTAATTGGAGAAGTTGTTGTAAAGGGCTTGGATGCTTGAGCCAGACAGGCTGGGTTCGAATTATAACTCCACCACTTAGCAGTTCTGTGACTTCGAACAAGTTACTTAACTCTTTCTCTTTCCTTACCTGTAAGTGAGGATAATAGCAGCACCTCGTTCATTGGGATATTTTAAAGATTTGATTTAATTGAGATATATAAAACCCATAAAAGAGAGGCTGATACGTATAAAGTGTGCAGGAAATGGTAGCCATTGTTTTTATTTGTGTATGTGCCTGTTTCGGCAGTAAAGTGTGAGCTGCAGAAAGGCTGGGAGCTTATTTTGCTTGTTTTTTCATTTGAGACTCTGTCTTTGAAATATTTTATGATGCCCTAAATCTTGGCACAGTTGTACTCTAAATATTTCTTAAATTGAAGAGCATTAAATATTTTATGAGATTGACCAATAGGACAATTTTCCCTTCCCCACGTACTCACTCATAGAAATCTCTATATGTTTCCATAAAAGATGCAACAACTCAGTTCTTCTGGAACATTCTAGTAAATGCCAAAAATGGTATATAAAGTCATCAGAATGTAGATGCAGCATTAAGCATGACACAGGGTCAGCCTTCTTAGAGTCTAAAGATGACCTAATTCAACTTCAGTGCCTGTGAATTCCAGTAAAAGCTTAGAAGCTGACCTCAGTTATTTAAATAATAGATTATTTCACTTACACCTACAGAAACACAGTGTGCCCGGGAGTCTACGCTCCCAAGTGTGGTCAGTAGTGGTGGGAACCCACACACACCTCAGCTCCAGGGGACCTTGATGCTAAGCAGTATTTGTCACTTAAGTACTAGTTCTGACATTCCAACTTCACCAATGGCCAACCACCATTGTCATCAGGTACATCTGTCAGCCCTTTGGGCTGTCTTCATAAAATGAAGTCTTTCCCTGACTAAATTTAGAATATCCAAAACTCAGCCCTGCCTGGAGAGTTAGAGAATGTTTGGTGGGAGTCCAGATTCAAGTCTTTTTCCTGGGAACGCTTCTGGAACCCCTTCGCCATTCCTAGGCAGGACCTCCTAGTGGCTGGAGGGACATGGAAGTGATTTGCACCTCCAAGCAGCGTGGAACTGAAGAGCAGCATTTCATGCCAAAATGGCTCAGTGCCGAAGGCGTGAATCTGCCTTCCAGGCTGGTCCCTCTCTCTCTCTCTCGTATTTACCAAAAGAGTCTTAATTTCAGGAGACGGTTGCCAAAATGTGGCCGTTGAGCTTGTGGTAGGCAGAAGGATGCTTATGAAGGTGATGACTTAAAATGTGAGGAACACAAGTGAAATTCTTTGGGCCCTATCGAGGCTTCTGTGGGCAAGTCCATTCCTAAACCCGTCTGAGCGGTATGTTTCTTAGACGTGTGCCATGGGAGAATGCAACATGGAAAAAGTAAAGGAATTCTTGGTTTGATGTTGGAATGGAAAGTAGTAATAGGACTATGAGTATTTGTGGTCTTTGAAAAAACTTTAAATTGTTTCTACTATTTATTTTTGTATGTTATAGTTTTTATTTGGGACCCACACACCCCATTCTACAGCAAAAACAAAAACAAAAACAAAAACAAAAAAAACTAGGCAGCTGCCTGCAAAGGACATCCTCTGTGGATTTTCTGACTGGGCATGAGTGCTCCTAGCTTCAGCTTTCTGTTTTGATTTACTGGGACGTGCGCATGTGATAAAGAGTCCAGTAGAATCTGTTATGAACAAACTTCTTGCCCTTTGAAAACCTACCAGTGTGGGAACTCTGACAAAACTGTGGCCGGAAGTTGAAAGACTGTTTATGTGTGAATGTAAAGTGTGCAGATTTTCCAGAAGGTTCAGAGTCCTAAACAAGCTCGCGTATGATTCAGATATCATTAATCTGTCATCCAGAGTGACAAGCTGACCATTTCTGTCTTATATTCTGTCTAGTCCTTTTAGGTCAATTCAGATTTAAATAGCAGCACTTTGTACATGAGATAGGAGACAAGGGCCTAATAATTCATGATAGATAATCTTTAAAGTGGAGTTCTGCACAGAAATAGAGAATATTTAGTACTTAACTTAGGGCAAATATTTAATTTGGAGGGAAAGACTAAAATTCATCATTATTCTATTTTAAAAATTATAAAAATTCAAGCTAAAGAAATAGAGATGGTTATCCACGCTATAGATGGATTAATAATCATAATGGAAAGGAACAAGATTATGATCAGCTATAATGTCCCAGACTCTTTTTTAGGCACTTCCTGTTCATTATCTCATTAAAGCCTCACAATAAGTTGTTGAGGAAGAAGTCCTCAGACCCAATTTATAGGTGAGAAAACTGAGGCACAGGAAGGTAAATAATTTGGCCAAGTTCACACAGCTAGAAAGTGGCCAAACTATTGTTTGAAGCCAGTTGTGTCTGTGAAATTTAGGACAAAATTCCTTCAAGTTATAAACGTTATTTATATATCTTAAATATGATTCGACTTACAAAAAAGAATTGTTATTAAAGTGTATAGTGTCTGTTTCTTTCCTTTTAGGAGCTAGATATAACCATTTGGTATCTTTTTTCCCTTAATTTTACATTCTTGATTAAAATTTTAAAAATAAATTCTGATACATAATTTAGTTCATGAGGCTTTTAGATTATGAAATAGTGAACCCGTGATGTTCTGCTAGTTTGAGCACTAAAACATTTTATAAAATCAAAACATTTTTGCATTGCTTCTGAATTGACTTTAACCATGGAGCTTGTCCTCCTTAGTTTCCTATGTCCTTTAAAAAATCTAGTACAACACTCTCTTTTCCCTGTGAAGATGTCTTTCATCTCCCTAAATGATGATTCTTCTGCTATAGGTACGTAGTTCCTCATTTAATCCCCACATGAAAACCACTGACTGTCCTACCAGTCGCCTGTTCTGTTAGGGCCGACTGACGTCTGCTCTGCCATCCCGTTCTCTTTGCCCGTGCAGTTCCAGGGCTTTCACCAGTATTTCATCGAATTCTGTAATGTTTACCAATTAAAAACACCCCTTCGAAAAGAAAAGGTTAGAAATGCCTTCGTTCATTTAAAAGAAGAACATTATTCTATAAAAATCTCTTGCGAGGGTCTGCTGCTAGCACCTTCGTTCCTGGAAGACCCACCTGTACAGTGACCATGGGAAGCCATCTATGACTTTCTTTGCCATGTCGTTTCTTGTCAAAATCTTCCAGGCCTTCTTGGTGACCATAAATAGCTTTGTTTCCCTAATACAACATACCTCAAGCGAAAACAATTAGATATATGTATGATTTTTTTAAAAATTAAAATGTACGTAACAGTCTCTTGCCCACTGAAAGCAGTTTTCATTTCTAGACTGTGAGTGGCCCTTGTTTTATAACTCCACACTAAACTTTTCAGGGAATGACTTAAAATAGCACCAGGGCGAAAGTGGCAAGCAATCATTATTCTGCATAATGACAATGGTTTCATTTTAAAAATGTGCATTTTAAATGGGCACTAGAAAACTTGCAAAAATCCACAATGAGGCTGAGGACTTAAAGCTCAAATCTAAGCTTATTCAGGAGAAAAATAAGCGCTGCTTTTGTAACAAACAAAAAAACACACAAACATTTTAATGCAATTTTTCGCTTTGTTTTATTTAAGTGAGATGGGGTTTACTGACTATAGTGAATTTTATTCTAAAGCCATTACATTCATTTAGTAGTTAATAAGCACATACGATATGCCAGGATTTTTTTAATGCAATGACTTAATTTTTTCTTTTTTTTATTATAGTTGACATACAGTATTATATGAGCTTCAGGTGTATAACACAGTGATTCAACATTTCTATACCTTATGAAGTGACCACATTGTGATAAATCTAGTATCTGTCGCCATACAAAATTACTAGGACACTACTGACTCATTCCCTATGCTGTACGTTACATCCACACGACTTACCATCCCCGCCGCCCCTTCCTCCCCTCTGGCAGCCATCAGTTTGTTCCTTGTATCTATGCGTCTGTTTCTGTTTTGTTTATTCATTTGTTTTTGTTTTTTTAGATTACACACCTAAG